ATAAAATATCTCCTTTTGAAGTGGACTTTGAACTTTGTAACTTTGCAGATATTTTTTATGCTCAAACAGCAACATTACAGACTAACTAAAGTTGAAAAAGTGAAAAAGCATAATAGGACCCCTTTAAGGACATCACTCACCCTAACCATAGCTTGTTTCAGCTCCTCCCATCTGGAAGGCGATTCCAATCTATCCGGGTACGCACAAATAGACTCAAAAACAGTTTTTTTTCCAACAGCAATAATTTTGATGAACTCTGGTATCTCCCTGTCTGATCATGTAAAATAAGCTATGTCGACAATGTGTGACTTACTGCTCAATAATAAGTTCAATTATAATGCTGCTATTATAACAGTGTTGGCTACTCTTGTATTAACACTGTATCTGGCATTTTGCCATATTCTGAGTAATTTTAAATATTTTATGACAATTTCATCTTTTTTTATATTTGATCATTATTGTATCGCTATGATAATTATCCAGTTGTTTATTATTAGCTATTTCATTTTGTATTTATTAACTACTGCGTTTTTTTTGTATATGTATTGTTAACTATTGTACTGTCTTATTTTAAATGCACCTTGGGGTTGTCACAAGAGAAATTTCATTTTGTTACACAATATACTACAAGCAGGGCATCGCTGAAAATGAGTGTGTGTGAGTTTGTTTACAGAATGCTGTTGTCACTTCTGCAAACTCCCGTACAAATAATTATTAGAAAAAGTGTAGGCCCCTGGATTTCTGCCCGTTGAAGCCCGTGCGTTAATGCGCCCCTGCCCATTGGGTCCTGATCAAGAGGTCAGATTGATGTGTTTTACAATTTAAATGTCATTTTCAGTTAAAAGTTTCATTTTCCAGTCAGCAGGATGTTACCTTCAGAGAGACTGGGAGCCTTCAAAGTTCAGTACGGTTATGTCTTTTTGATGGATTGTTAGAAAAGGTGGATCAGGTGGTGATTTGGGGTAATGGATCAACCTCAGATTAGGCCCAAATAAACTTAACAGAGAAACTTCACAGAGCCCTTAGATGAATGAGTATATTTGACATTCTGTGATGTGCACATTTTTTCAGATTTTAAGCCTGGATCTTCCCTATTATGTTGCGATACTCATTCCACAGAGCCACTCACCCTTGAAATTGTTATATGTATCAACTAAAAGCCCATTTGTGGACTTTTTGGTCTTTTACTCAACTCAATAAGTTCAGATCAGCAGCTCCTAAATAGCACCCAGAGACTTTTGTTAGTTAGCGTTGTCGGGCATGCATAGCACACTCAAGAGATGCTTTCATTGTGTTTAGGGGGATCCAAAATCAATGAAATCCAAAACACAGAGGTCTTACAGCGCTCGGGGGGGGGATTTGGGGTAATGGATCAACCTCAGATTAGGCCCAAATAAACTTAACAGAGAAACTTCACAGAGCCCTTAGATGAATGAGTATATTTGACATTCTGTGATGTGCACATTTTTTCAGATTTTAAGCCTGGATCTTCCCTATTATGTTGCGATACTCATACTCAATTTTTGGTCTTTTACTCAACTCAATAAGTTCAGATCAGCAGCTCCTAAATAGCACCCAGAGACTTTTGTTAGTTAGCGTTGTCGGGCATGCATAGCACACTCAAGAGATGCTTTCATTGTGTTTAGGGAGATCCAAAATCAATGAAATCCAAAACACAGAGGTCTTACAGCGCTCTTGTTTTTTTTTGTTTGTTTTTTTATGTTGAATTTGTTTTTGCAGTTTGTATTTTGCAAAACGTCAAAGGAAAAGCAGCAGCTGTGGATTCTGATCAAATCTTTTCTTGGCAAATAAAATAGCATTAGAAATGAACAGAACACAGAAGAGTCTGTTCCCAGTGGATTCCCAGTATTTTTCATATTTCAAATGAACTTGCATATATTCATAAGCAAGAGGACAAAGTGATTATACTTTCCTCACATTCCTATGTTACAGTTTATGCAGAAACAAATATTTATTCAGGAAGTATGTAGCCACTCTCCGTAAAATCATTTTTAACATGCCTTATTGTTAGATCTCCCTTTGCAAATGTGTCTCATTTTCAGCCTGGTTTGGTTTCTTTCATACCTTTCAGCCAGAGGAAAGGGCAAGACGACAGGAAGAACAGCATCCCCAGTACAAAAAAGGTTAAAAAAAAACTAATCACGATCAGCTGACTTTTACATAGACCATGTCATTGCTTACTTTTTTGATAGAAATTTCACCTTTTCTTGCTGTTGTCATTTTGCAGAGGCTTTGCCATTAGTTGCTTGCAGCCACCTGAGAGTAAGTGTCATGCTGAAGGGCACATGATGAAGCAAGACCACTGTAACTCTCCAGTTCATGCATCGCCTCGGTCGGCATCTGAACTCACAACCATAGGGCTGTTTAGTGCTAGAAAGATTTTCAAGCAAAAATAGGTTTGTTAGGTTTAAAGCAGTGGTTCTCACCCAGGGGTCTGGGGCCCACTAGGAGGCCCATTTAGAATAATCTTTTTTTTAATATATATATATATAATAAAAGGCTAAAAATAAACATAAAATCAAGATTTAAACTGAGATCATATTTCTTTAAATATTTCCCCAATAACTATTGTTTTTTAGTGAAGAACTACTGGGGTGTATTCCAGAAAGCATGGTTAACTTACCGTCATCTAAACCCTGAACTTTCGGTTGATTAACCCCAAACCTTGCTTACTCGAGATATGTGGTTCCAAAAACTCGTCCGAGAGTAAGTTCATTCAACTCAGACTATGTTCCTGGTTAAGACTCAAGACATTCTCAACAGAGCGACGAATCGACGAGTCACTATGGAAACGGACGCTAAGAAAAAGCGGACCGCTCCACCGGGGGGACCCTTGTAACCCCCTAGCTGCCCCACCATCGAGGGTGGTGAGGGAGGAGGAACCAGCAGATCGGTTTCCGGCAGTAAAAAGGTGCCGTCCACGACCTGTTGAGCTCCTCATGCACCTCCGGGAAGAAAGGCACCGAGGCGGGGCGCTGAGAACCAGCTCGGACCCCCCCGAGAACCAATCGTGCAACCTTGAGGGCTCGGGACACGGTGGAAGTCTCCACTCGAGCCCTACCCCTACGGCGGCCCGGGAAAGCATAGCCATTATTTCTGGATCCGATTCAGGCATTGCTACAGTCCCGGAGGAGAGCAGCGCAGCCGAATCTTCCTCTCCAGAAAGCTCCGGCTCACCCTCCGATGCAGTGATCGACATCCGGTCATCGGGAGGAGCGCCAAAGGATACTGCTGGTACGCTCCTTGTAGAGGGCTCAGCACGTTCCATTGGCAGCTCAACTGGCTGCGGAGTGCCTCAGACCGCCCGCGCTACTGCCTGAAGTAGCCCCCCCTGGCTGCCGCCAAGAGGAGAACTAGATCAAGGCAGAGGCAACGGAACTCCGCCCCTTGAGGAAACGGAGCTTGGCCCGCGACTCCGAGATGATCATCTTCCCGCAATGAGAAGATGACTCATCCACAAACGCCACCTCAGCGTGCTACATGCCCAGGCACGTGAGGCAGCGATCGTGACCATCACCCAGCGCCAGGTAACGACCGCATTCAGAAACGCCTGGGTGATACATTGTCTATAGCAAGACCCACATCGTCTTTACAAAGACGTAACGTCAAGTTTGCCACGCAACGTCGTCTTTAAAAAGACGCACCCGAAATTGCTCTTTTAGGGGAAAAAGCTCTTTTAGCGTGCTGAGGCGCACAGGTGAGATGATCATCTGCGACACAAACAGGGGGTAGTGCAGCCTGATGTGTGCAACCCACTCGACACGGGAAACCACCACCGCTGAAGCGCCGTACCGCCAACACGAAGAGCTCTCCAAGAGCGCACTGAACACGTTCAGTCTTCTTTTCTCAGTAGAGTAGTCAGGAGCAGAACGATGTGATCGCTCGGCTCCTCAGCGAAAAGCTGAATATGCGCTGCATCTGCTGCCTACTTATACTCACGCTGTGATCAGCAGCAGCTGGATGCAATAATCGCATGCCAATGTGCATTGGCTCGTTTAGTTTACACTCGAAGTAGATTGGTCCCTCTAAGCGAGATCCCAATTTCGTCGGTCATCCGACGTGACGTCGAGAGTGACCGACTGAAAGGGAACTTTTATTATTATTTTTTTCAGTGATTTTATCCTCTGTTGTTACACATAATTCCAGCAGATTAAACCAGCAAATAATTGCTTTCTAGCTGTTTATTACAAAGCATTGATAATAAACAATAAGGGGTCTATTTAGAAAACAGAGGTGATCATTAGAAAAGAATATCCAGAGAGAAAATTGCTATACAGAGAGAAAATTTAATTTTAAATACATAAGGCGCCAAATAACTGCCGCAGATAACCTATGTTGTATTCAGAAAGACCACCACACTAAGCTATCATTAAAACAAACACGCTTTGGGTCTACAGGTCTTAAAATTTGAAAAGACACTGGGATGAAATCCAAGCTGCTCCTTCCTACATACAGTATAGAAGTTAGAGTGAGACAATATGGTTTTCTGCAGGTCTAAGCAGCTGAGAGTCTCACCAGAGGAGAGGTGAAAAATAATGGTCTCCCTTCACCTGCTGACTTCCCTTCTTTTCCCGCGCCATGTTTTACACGAGTTGCACAGGTTCATAATTCTCAATTCTGCCGAGCATTAATTTAGCAGCGACAGAAGGGGATCCCTGGAGGAACCCAGGTGACAGCTTCATTTCAAGCCTCTTTAATGTTGTGTGGCTGCTAAGTCTCCGGCTCAATTCTCAAAAGCACCATAAAATTCCTCAAGCACAAAATATTACAGTTTTGCGCAGCAGCTTTTCAATTTGTGTTTGTCATGTGAATAAGGGCTTAGCAGGCTTACGCCGACAAGTTACGTTCTACGCAGAGTATTTATTTAATTGTTGTTAATAAACGTGCCACAGGAAGCTGAAAAGAGTTTGTACTCATATTCTGGGCTGGAAATCGTGACATTATTTGACCCGAGCGATTTTTTTTCTTCTTTCATTCAGAGATTGAAAAGTTCGAAGGAGACGAGTTGAGAAAAGATGGCGAGGTGAAGAAATACTTGGATATCATCAGCAACAAAAACATCAAACTGTCGGAGCGCGTGCTGATCCCGGTGCAGCAGTATCCTAAGGTAAGACCTCAGTGCTCCATGCAACATACTAAAGGAGCGGTGACGTGCCGGTCAAATCAATGTTATAGTCATGTGGAGATCAGAGAGGATCAAAAGCAATTCATCAGTTTTATGGGATTGCTGTGCTCGTGGTAATGACTTAATATGTTCTGTATCTGGCAGGAGCAAACTAGATGGTGTCAGACTCTGATTTGTGCTGCACTGCAGATCTGCTGTTATTTACACCTTATATTTCTGTCCTAGTTGAAAAGGTTCCTAGCTCTCTCAGGGTAACAGGCACGCCACATCTGTTTCTACCTGTTCAAACATTATTCTGCCTCATTTCGTAATCAGGAAATTATTCTTGTTTTTTTCCCTCCTCTTTTTTTGCGTATTACCAGCTGGCCTCTCACACATCTGTTAGGAAATCTTAGCTTCTCAGCACCAATAGAGGCATAAAACCATTTTATTTAGCAACATGTATCATTTTATTGTCTGTTGGTTGATTAATCTTTCTGTGGGGCTTTGACTTGGTAGCTCTCGTGTTTGTTATGTTGATCAGTTTCATTCACAGATAACTAAAGTCTTTAAAAGTGGCATAAAAACGAGAGATGTAGCGTACTTGGTGCTTTGGGTGCTTGCTTACGTTTAATTCCTGCTGATAGTTTGATTATAGTGATTCAGTCATTAGAGAGCCAGAACGGCCTGGTTTGATTCAACTGGAAACAATATCACGTTAAACAATATCACACATCATGTTTTTGTCAGTAACGGTGATTTATTTTAGAAGCATGTTCTGATGCAGAGTTTTCATTTCAGGTGACTGGTTATTTATTTCAGACTACTCTGTCGTTATCACGTTTGGTGCACGCGGCACTCTTTTATTCAGCATTGTGCTGCTTTAAAATTATGCTTTGAAAATGAGTGGGGAAAAAAGCCCATGAGCATCACACAGATGGATCCATAAAGCTTCTGGGCTTCTCATATGCTCCCTCATTTTTTACTGTTTCTGCTTTAGGAAATGAATCCCTGGAGTACTAAAATGTGCAGACTGTTTGATGGGTTTAGTAGATTTGTGCTGTTGAAAAAGAGTACAAAGAACACGCCTTAGGTTTAGATTTTACATGTCTTGTTCGAGTTGTAACAATGGATTTTTGTTTTCCCAAATCCCTCTTTCCTCAGGATCTTGGCTGCTTTGTAGTTAGGGTAATTTTATGGCAAAGGTCTCTTGTGATATTCCTGGAAAGTGACAAATATCTGTACAATGTCATTGGATTGAATAATATTAAGTGTAGATTATGTAATTTTCAGAGATTTTATTTTACATATTGTTTTTGGTACTAGGATGTAAGAGGGTAGGAGGGTGTATTCCCCTTCCCCAAATATAAGCATATAAAAGATGTGTTTTTGTGAAGACTTATATTTTTCAGGTGCAAAAAATAGTTTTGTTTAAAAACATGACAGCACAAAATAGAGTCAATGGGCCTCATTCATGAAACACGAGCAGAACAAATTTTTGTGTAAATCGTTCGTAAAGCTGTTCTGATGTAAATTTTCGGATTCATGAAATTGTTCGTATTTTCAAAATGTTAGTTGGTACGAAAGAAATTTACACCTGCTCCCTACCATGTGTAAATGGTGCGTAAAACGTTCTGTGTTCTTTTTGGCAAACTGATGACAAAGTGCGTTTGCTCAGGTTTTTTTTTTTTATTTTTGGTAGCTGGGAGTTGATAAACTGTTTAACTTTGGGTAAAAC